GTTTAGGGTTTACTTGGAGGATCAAGGGACTTAGTAAGTAAGGTTACAAGTCCCTTAAATGGGGAGATAAGTATAGTTACCTTGGTTATAACCCTACTTACTAAGTCCCATGATCCTTTAAGTAGGAGGGGGGGGAAGGTTCCCACAACCTTTGCAGAATTGACCCTGAATCCCTAAACAACTCAACCTCAAACCCTAAACCGGCCTGGCTAGAGTTTTCGGGCCACGGAGAAGAAGGAAGCCCCGTCCCGAAGTGAACTCCAGAGTCAGAAACCGCGAGGCCTCGAAAACACAAATCAAGGATCAGATACACAAACATATACACTGTGATCTCTCGTTGATTTAAGTCTTTCGTTCATTTTCTGATTCGATGCCTCCGAAAACCCGTCTCCTGACGGCAGGCCCATACCACCANNCCACCACCGGACAGTTCGAGGCGTTGGCGCGGGAAAGGGGCAGGGCCGGGTAGGGAGGCCTGAAGCTCCCGAATCAAAGCGGTCTCCCGATATCAGGCCTCCGACGGATATGCCACCACCGGAAAGTTCGAGGCGTTGGCGCGGGAAAGGGGTAGGGAGGCCTGAAGCTCCTGAATGAAAGCGGTCTCTCGATATCAGGCCCATGACGGATATGCAACCACCGGACACTTCGAGGCATTGGCGGGGGAAAGGGGTAGGGCCGGGTGGGGAGGCCTGAAGCTCCTGAATGAAAGCGGTCTCCCGACATCAGGCCGACAACAGAAATGCCACCACCGGACAGTTCGAGGCGTTGGCGCGGGAAAGGGGTAGGGAGGCCTGAAGCTCCTGAATGAAAGCGGTCTCCCGATATCAGGGCTACCACGGATATGCAACCACCGGACACTTCGAGGCATTGGCGCGGGAAAGGGGTAGGGCCGGGTAGGGAGGCCTGAAGCTCCCGAATGAAAGCCGTCTCCCGATATCAGGCCTCCGACGGATATGCCACCACCGGACAGTTCGAGGCGTTGTCGCGGGAAAGGGGCAGGGCCGGGTAGGGAGGCCTGAAGCTCCCGAATCAAAGCGGTCCTCCTGACATCAGGCCTCCAAAGTCCGCTATGCCACGACCGGAAAGTTCGAGGCGTTGGGACCGGAAAGGGGTAGGGGCGACTGTGCCATATTTTTGTGAGTTTCCCAAACCCTAAGCCTTAAACCCTACACCCTAAACCCTAAACCCTGTATATTGTCCCAGCTCTACCAGCGCCAAGATCCGCTGCGCCCGAGGCCTGACACCCAAACGGAACTCCCGCTCTGCGGCGCGCAAAAAGGTGCCGAGACGGAGGGCTGTGCCAGGGCTGCTTGAGGTCTTCAGGGTTTAGGGTTTAGGGTTTAGGGTTCACCGAGGGGCATCGTTGGGATGGTTTGCTTTTCGAAGGGTTTTTCAAGGCTGCGACATACGGATGAGGAGACTTGGCGGATGTTGCCTTGTTTAGGTTTGAGCGTTTCGGAACTGTGCCCTTCCGAAGCCTTCAGCCTCTATCGACAGCAAGGGAGGGGGGTCCCAGCAAACACTCGGGGAAACGATTCCTGCCATCATCTGCCGTGCCGTGCCGTGACCTCCACCCAAACCCTAAACTCTAGAAAATAACCCTAAATCCTAAAAAGGAAAATCCTAAACCCTAAAAGAAAAATCTAAACCCGAAAAGAAAAAATCCTAAACCCATTTAGCAAATCCTCAACCCTAAAAGACAAATCCTAAACCCCTAACTCTGACTTCCACTCCGGAGTTGTCCCAAGTTCCCCTTAAAAGGAGCCCTAAACCCTAAACCCTAAACCCGTAGCTCGTCGGACAGTTCTCGGAGCCCAGGTTGGGCCAGCGGTCGGTAGCGGTGTAGATCTGTGGCTAAACCCTAAACCCTAAACCCTAAACCCTAAACCCTAAACCCTAAACCATAAACCCTAAACCCTAAAAAGACCCGCCCTTGTAACAGTGCCCTTTTGGAGGGCTTCAACTAACTTAGGGTTTAGGGTTTACAGGGTTTAGGGTTTAGGGTTTAGGGTTTAGGGTTTAGGGTTTAGGGTTTTAGGGTTTTGGGGTTTTAGGGGTTGGGGGTTAGGCTGCGATAAGGGTCATGAAGAGGTAGCGACAAGGCTCATCATTGGGTTGCTGTAAGGGCCTGTGTTGGGCTTACTAGAGTGGGATGTTATGGAGTTATTATAAGGGTTACTACGGCGATATTCTAAACCTAAACCCTAAACCCTAAACCCCAAACCCCAAACCCTAAACCCTAAACCCTAAGCCCTTTCTACTCGTGGGGACCATTTTTAGGGTCATGAATTTGGAGCTGCAGGTTGAAGCTCAGGTTCACACAATCGGGTCGGTATGATAAGAATCAATTATGATAACCTTTAGAGTTGCCTTCATAATGACCCTTATGAATCCTCATGACAACTCTTATGATAAGCCCCTTATTATATCGTAGAAGCCCCTCAATATGAAACATCTAATTTACGGGCTGTCTCAGGTCCTTCATGGCCGTCGGGCATAGGACCCGCTGATCTGTTCCGAAGGTTCCAAGGCGCCAGGTGGATAGGGGAACTCGGCAGACTTGAAGATCATCTTCCACTGAAGAGCAGACACGAAGAGGCGACTTAGCCGGGTGACCCTAAACCCTAAACCCTAAACCCTAAGCCCTAAACGCTGAACCCTAAACCCTAAACCCTGAACCCTAAACCCTAAGCCCTGAACCCTAAACCCTAAACCCTCAACCCTCAACCTTAAGCACTTCATACCTTGATCGCGCTCTGGCCCGAGGATGTTCCGTAGTCTGTCGCAGGAAAAGAGCTGGGAGCGATACCGAAAGAGAGCAAAGCCGGAGCTGAAAATATCGGAAGCAAAGGCTTTAGGGTTTAGGGTTTAGGGTGTAGGTAGGGTAGGGTTTAGGGTTTAGAGTTTAGGGTTTAGGGTTTTAGGGTTTAGGGTTTAGGGGGGCGGCGCTGAAGCAAAGGGGCGACTTTGAGGAGAACTGAACACATCGGAAGCAAAGGGGAGGAAGAAGACCCGCAAGATTTTGATCCTCTCATCGTTACGGGGTGCTTTTCCTTAGGCCTTGGGCCGTCTGCCCCGGAGTTTGTCTGGTGCTCAAGCTTCAGGATACAAGGTGGAGGGCTGCCCTGAAGTGTATCGGTTGCTTGCCCCATAGATTTTGGGGTTTAGGGCTTAGGGTTCAGGGTTTAGGAAAGTTGTGTTGTGCGCCAACCCCGAGAGCTTTTCATGCACAATGGCTGCAGCGCGCGGAGGTCGCGGGTTTTGATTTTTCAGGATCCCCAAACCCAGCCGAAAGCCATAAAACTTGAACCCCAAAACCCTTAACCCTAAACCTTGATTTTCAGGATCCCGTTTTGGAACGTTCGGTCTCCTGGAGTCCCCGACTGGCACCTTTGAAGCATGCATTGGTCTCTGGTGCAGTGCGACGTAATCTTTCGATGTGTTTATGCTTTCAAGGATTTCTCTCGCTGGTTTTCGTGCTACAATGTACAACAATATCTAGTATGTACTATAATCTACTGCAATATGAACGAATATACTATCACACTCAACTGGTTGACCTCTTCATGCAAATCCCCAAACCTATACCCTAAACCCTAAGAGCTAAACTCCTAAACTCCTCAGCTCTAATCAGTAAACCCTAAACCCTAAGCCCCTATACCCTAAACCCTAAACTCCTCAGCCCTAATCCGTAAACCCTAGACCCTAAGCCCCTGTACCCTAAACCCTAAACTCCTCAGCCCTAATCCCTGAACCCGGATCCCCTAAGCTCCTGAACCCTAAACCACAAAAGCCCTCAACCCTAAACTCTAAACCCTAAACCCTAAGACCCGAAACCTTGAGCCCCTAAGCCCCTAAACCCTACCCTAAACCCTAAACCCTAAACCCTAAACCCTAAACCCTAAACCCTAAACCCTAAACCCTAAGCCCCTCAACCCGAAGCCCCTCAACCCGAAGCCCCTAAGCGTCTAAACCCTCAACCCTAAACCCCCAAACCCTAAACCCTCCACCCTCAACCCTAAACCCCTAAACCCTAAACCCTAAAGCCTAAGCCCCTAAACCCCAACCCCTAAACCCCAAACCCTAAACCCTAAGCCCCTAAACCCCTAAACCCCAAACCCTAAACCCAAAGCCCCTAAACCCTAAGCTCCTAAAACCCTGAACCCTAAACCCTCGACATTCGGCGAACCCTAAACCCTAAACCCTAAACCCTAAACCCTAAACCCTAAACCCTAAACCCTAAACCCTAAAAGCTCTGGGTTTGGGTTTGCTCTCGGCCCTTGGGCCCCAGGTGTTCTTCGGGGTTCCCCCGTGTTTAGGGTTTAGGGTTTAGGGTTTAGGGTTTGGGGTTTAGGGTTTAGGGTTTAGGGTTTAGGGTTAACTTAAGGGTGTTTTAAAAGCTTCTTTGTGCTTCGACACTTTATTGGTGCTTTCGATGTTTGAGAGTTTTTTTTGGGTTTTGTTGGGGTTTGATTGGGGGTTTAGGGCTTCATTGGGGGTCTGGTTGAAGGGCTTAGGCTTTGTGCGTGTTAGGTTTACGGAGCATGGATTACGGGTTCTGGGGTAAAGGGCCGTGGGAGTAAGATTCAATTCAAGAGCCTGCCTCTCAGCTTCAGGCCCAGAGCAAAGCTTGTCCTGAGAATCAGCAAGCAACCCTGAACGCCCTGAGCCCTAAACCCTGAACCCTCTCCTTTAAAGGAAGCCCTAAGCCCTAAACCCCTGACGCTCCCAAGCCCTAAACCCCTAAAGGTTCCTTTTAGGGTCCTCTAGGGTTTAGGGTTTAGGGTCCTTTTTATAAGAGTCGGGTCCCGTTTTAAACGGGACCCTAAAATTTAGGGTTCTGTTTATAAGGGTGCCATACTGTATTGAGGACTCAAAAAGGGAGAGAACTACACCTACGCCTGCAAAGATGCTTCATCACGTAGGTCCATTGCCCGTGTGAGAACGGACCCCAGTCATGAAAGTTTAGGGTTTAGGTAGGTTTGTTTTGCATTTAGGGCTTAGGTAACATCAGTCGCGGATATGGAGACCAACTAGAGTGCACGGTAATCTGAGTGCTCTCAAGAATCACGATGCTCAAATCATCAAAGTATTGAGAGAAATCAACACACAGCCCTAAACCCCATACCCTAAACCGTGGTAGAGTCCTGAACCCTAGACTTGGCGAATGTCACTAAACTCCGCAGCCCCAAAATCCTTAAAACCCGGAAAGGCCCCAAATCCCAAACTCCTAAACCTTCAAAGTCCGAAACCCCTATCGTCCGGTAAAAACGACTTTCTCATTGGTAGTTTCTCTAAATAGGGGTCCGTTTTGGGGCGGCAAGCATAGTACGGCACCTTCATGAAGAGGGCCCCCCAAAAAACCTTAACTTAAGAGAACTACCCTCATGTTGTCGGCTGGCCGGATCGTGAAGTGCGTGGTGATGTCGGCTGCAGCTATTGGCCTGGTAGCGGTGTGCAGCAATCTGAAAGCTTCTGGCACCAAATATACGGCTGATGCATTAATGAACATCCTAAACCCCAAACCCTAAACCGACGGTTTAGGGTTTGGGGTTTAGGGTTTAAACCTGAATTTTGGGCACTTCATGCTTTTATTCCATAAACATTGGCTTTGGATTCCAGACTCTGCGGTTGACTCGTGGAAGGGAAACGCGCCAGGGTTTCACCCCCAGCGAGCTCCCTTTCCTGTTTGAATCTTGGGTTTCAGGTTTAGGGTTTGGGTAGGGTGTCGCAAACCCTAAACCCTAAACCCTTTAGGGTTTATACGTATCCTTGATTCGGGTTTTGGGGTTTAGGGTTTAGGGATCCTTGGGTCGGAGGGGACGGGGGATCCTTGAGTCTGAAGGCTCTCGAGCATGGCAAAGACGCGAGCTTCGTCTCGGCAGCAGATGCTCTGGCGGAGGTTTGCATTCCTAAACCCTAAAACCAAAACCCTAAAACCTAAACCCTAAACCCTAAACCCTAAACCCTAAACCCTAAAACCTAAACCCTAAACCCTACGGCCCTCGGGTTTAACTTTACTCCCCAAACCCTAAACCCTAAAGCCC